TTATTATATTATATTATTATACGTTTATAGGTATTTATAAGGTACTTATCTTTATATTAGATTACTTATAGTATATTTAAATTACTTATATAATAAAATAAGTAGCCTATAAATAACCTAAGAAAAACTTAGATACTTACGGGTGCCCACGGGTACCCGTTTTTACACTCTAGTGTTGAACATGAAACAGCATCACGTGCAGGGTCCAGCCTGCGCCTTCCATAAATAGCGTGCCTGGGCGGCATCTCTAGCTTAGAGAATCAACGCACTCCTTTCATCTGTGTTCCGCTGTGACGTTCAACAGAGACGTCTGGATGTCCTCGGAGTCGGCCACGCGACCTGGAATATCTTCGACATGCAAGACTGGCTAGATGAAGGGGAACCAAATGCACTGGTAGTAATATTGTGCGTCATTCTTACCCTTGTTGCCGTTCTCTAGCAGGAGGCAACTCAAAACGGCCCTCGCCGCAGACACCAGTCAGAGGCCGCTTGGTCTCTAACCGCTCTTGAAGTTTTATACAGGCAGCGCTTGTTTCCGAGCTCATTAATAGCAGGAAAGAAAGTTTTGCTTGCCAGTTGGGCTTAAATCGGTTAAGAGGCTCATAAATCCGACCTTTCGCGGTACAAGTGCTTGCGGCCGGGGAAGACAGACAAATCGAGAGGTTGCAGCACATGTGAGGCGCAAGCAGGGAGATAAACCAGATGAATCTTATGCAAATAGCGTAGATACATGAAAGACACCGACTCACTGCTTCCATAGCCTTCTAAAACTAGCAGTCGCCGCTCGGTAGGGTTGAATGACTGGGTCTGGCGATGAACACCCTTTTAAGCTACCCTACCGCAATCTGGTCAGAAGACTAGCCGTTCTTTATGGCTGTGAATTGTCAATCTGTAAAATAACCTAAATGTTGCGGAAACCATTGTTGCTGAATGGACTTTCCCGTCAATACCATCAAGGGTAGCAAGGCGCTGTGCGCGGCCGCTAAGCATTTGACAAAGGACATCCAGGCCCTTGACCCGGGAGTTTTCTTCTAAACAGAGCGTCTCTCCGAACTTCCGACTACTAGATCATACCCCCCTAAGACTTCGGTGATTCCTGCTTCATCTATGTTGTACCTGTGCTCTGACTTAACAGCCCAGATCTCGGGAATGCGGAAATCGCTAAACCAAGGACGAATTACCTCGGCGGGAGCGCCATGAACTGGCTAAAAGTCTCTCTAATAACACCACCGTGTCCAAATATCAGGATTATTTCTCAAGAAAGCCAGCATATGGTGTTTTCCGAGTGGCACGTAGTCTCCTCCAACGACAAGTAACTGCTTCGCGAACTGCCTGAACTGCGAGCGCGCGGCAGGGAGACCTAGAGAGCCCTGGATTAGAATCCATTAGATAAGTTGATTTAACTGCGTCCGAAAAAGCCGCTGACTGGAAGAAAATGCATCCTTTCTGCAGTCCCGACCATGTACGCGGTTCAAGAGCGTGGCCCTTGGAACACCCTACTTCGTCGAGGCCTTCCTGATAGATTTCCTATTGGCGACCATCTCAAGCGCCTGGATAATTCTATGTTGGGTATATAGAAATTGTATTGAACCAAGGAGGCACATGCCAAGTTAGAACGAATTTGAGCCACAACCTATTGAGTTATGGGGGGTCAAGTTGTTGAGGGAGTTCATGATGCAAGGATATTTGGGGTGGCCCATATGGGGGGGTGGCCCACATCTATGTGCAGGGACTTAAGAATCTACGACAAGAAGAAGTATTCCGACATAACAATTGTCTGCGAAGATGACGAATACAAAGTACATAAGGCCGTTGTATACCCCCAAGCTGAATTTTCGACACGGGTTGTGGCCAGCTGGGCTCCACAAATCAATTCAAAGTTCGTGTAGACCTTTCTCTAGATTGCCACGATACTAAAACGGCCAAAGAAAGGCAGAGAAGCTAGGTTTATCCTTAAAGAGGTAGATCCAGACGCCGTAAGACGCATGGTGCGCTACTTTTACTTTGGGGACTACATACAACAACAAGATTTTACATGCCTCAACGACATTGATACCAAGACGGCCAGCAGCTACCACCACACGGCTCGTCGAGAATGTATCAAATTTAATTACTCACGTAAGAGTGTACGAAGTTGGACAACGATATTTGGCACCTGGATTAAAAAGTCTTGCTCTTGACATCTTGAAAGGCTTGCTTATCAGCACTGGGACAAGCCGGAGTTCACCTCTGCAGTGCGTGAGGTGTACGAATTGCGTGTAGACGAGATACTGCAGGATGTAGTACTCGATATAATGGGCGATCACCTAAAACTCTTGCGCAACGATGAAATGGAAGGACTGGCAAAGAAATACGGTCTGATTCATGGGATTCTTATGAGATTGGTTAGGAGGGGACCTTTAGGGTGTTTGACATAAAAGTTTTGCTAATACCAGGACGAAGACCCGGCGACTTGGATACGACGTGCCGCATCAACATTTGTTTTAGGACGGGAAAACGCGAGCATCTGCAAGAAAATTATCAATCTTCGTCTTTCTCGACTTAGTCAATTCTCTCAAATCCACTCTTAAGCTTATTGCAGATTGTGTGCGATCGCTCGCGGGCTGGTCGGGCAAATCGGCCACTCGACTTATCACTCGTGCTAGTAAGGTCCTCATCCTCTCTAGTTCCTTTTCCACGGGTCTATTCCGTGTAATTAGGCTGTCTTAAACACTGCTCTCATTAGTCGCGAATAGCGGTTAAATAGCGCCCTTAATATAACGTAATTTTTCCAGACGATAACTTATTTCTTCTCGCTCTTCACTTAATTATATTAATCGCAGGATAATAGCTTCGTATTCGTCCGCTTTCTCTGGATACTTGCTAAGGTCGCTCCCAATTAGCCACGAAGAGTTACGCTTTAATAATCTCTAAACCCTCTAAACCCACGTTTCCCTTAAATACCTCTCCATCTCGCGCCTTGCCTTAACAGTTCCAATTCTCTAGGAGCCAACATTTTCACGTTTTTAGTATGTGATGCCAATCATTGTATGCTCGGATTCCACTTATCATTGTCCCGCAATTATGTGCATGTCTTTATCCCGTATTTTTTTATCGAGTTTTATGTATATTTCTATCTGCCTATATCTCGCCTATAGTAGTGACTCGCGGCTAATTTTCACTGTCCCCCGCCTACCCTTATCCGCAAAACCTACCTACTCTGTGCTTTCGCACAGTGTAGTAGTTTATGAGAACAAAGTGTTTGTATTAAGCGACTAAGAGTTTCCTCTGCAGTATCTAATCTAATTGTTACGTATGAAACCACGAATCCATCGCATTTGATAGCTTCATAGGGTTTCTCAAACTTTTCTAAGAAAGAAGAAGGTATAACAGCCTTGTAAAAGTACGCCACACGTGCCCGAATAAACGGGAACGCAATAGCATACACCTTCTCTGCCACATCTCCGCCGCTAGGGTTAACATTAACCCTAACCCTTTCTTGACGTTGTTTTTGTGCCAAGGCCATCAAGACGCCTAGTATATAAGGGTCCTCTGCGTCTACTGCCGGCTTAAGACGCTTCAACTTCTTATTCCTGAGGCCAGCAACCGGCCTATTAGGTATTTGAACTTTCCTCCGTTTCAAATATAGGGGATTCCTTTGCCAGATATATTCATTTCGAAGCGCCCGTACAGTCCCCAGGTTAATACAGGCCAACCGTCCCAGTCCGGATTCGGCCTTGAAGATACCATCTGTTAAAACACGCGCAGCTTTTTTTCCTTCGTAAAACAGTTCTAGTCGATTCGTTCTGTTTCTGGACCATTGTGTTAGTTGCGAATATGTTGTTCATTGCCCTTTTTAGATCGCCAACTGACCTCTCAAGCTCTTGGAGTCGGTAATGCTTCAGAATTTCACCCATGGCAATCTGCTGCGCTTCTGCATTTTCACACCTTAGTTGCCTCGCTGCACGAAGTACTTCACGTTTATACGGTGCGCAGTTATCTCGACGAGTGTGGTCGCAGGAATCGGGTAGATGATTGAGCTTGAACTCCAAATGTAAAAGCTTCAAATGCGTGGGAGTCCAAGCAATGGGCGGAACATATAAGCGCACCCTGTTGTGATGTTTCATTGTCGCGCTTAGTGAGTGTCGCACGGACGAATGGTTACAATCACCATTATTCGTCGAAGTCGGAGTCGATGTCGTCGCCGTTTCCGTTGCCGGCGATGATGATGGCGTGGACGACGCAGATGGAGATTGAGATGGGGATGGCAGTACACGCGAATACGACGGCGGCGGCGGCGGTGGCCGCGAGATACGACGGCGCTTGTTCAACGAACAAGCCCGATCAGCACATCTGCGCTTCAGTCCATTCTTTGGAGTCGCTTCGACAGTGTGCTCCAACTGCCTCGCCATCCGTAGCAATGGCGGAGATGCAGCCATGATTGCTGGTATTCGAGATGAAGGTGGAACGAAGGAAATGTGTTGACACTCGCTAGTCAAGCGTGCCATAACCATGCTGTTTTGCTGATGTAAGCATTGTGGGGCCCACTTCCCCATCAACGCCTTAACAAACGATTGCTGATCATTCTTTCTATTGCCAACCTGTCGCACGGCACAACAAGCCCACTAGCTGTATTAGGCATCTGGCCACGTAATGCGCACGGAAATTAGATAACGCGCATAGCATTCGTGGAGCCGAGCGCCCCTTTTTAAGGGGCGCATACAATTCTCTCTTTTATAGCTCAATTAAGGCTTTTTATTATCATTTTGTGTGTTATCTAGCTACTAATGCCCGCTTTCGTGTGACACAACCAATACCGCCCCAATTATGGCACCCTATACCTACTCAGCTCGCTCACGCAAGGATCTTCAAAAACTCTCATCTAAACACAAAGTGCGTTTTATCTTACAGCTTACTAAACAAAAACTGGCTAGCTCGGCTAGTAACTGGGGACTAGACCACATGATCGTGTATAGACTGCTCATAAAAGGACCGGAGACAAAGTTCCTAAGAGCTTTCAGTCTTGAACATCGTGAGGCATGCCCCCACTGCGTACGCAGCGGGTACTCACCACTGAAACTGAACAGTCTCAAGGTCCGGGACCTACTAGACATCAAGCCTTCCGTTCTCTTAAAGACCGAACGCGAATTACTGCAGAGTACCGGCGGATTTTTCTTGGTCGCATTGGCACAAGCTAGTCATGCAGACTTAGTCATTACTACGAGAACCCAGCCCGAACGCGAAAGAACTGCTGTCAAACGGCCCGACTACTCCAATTCGCTGGAGGCAATTATGGGCTCCTCGTCGCCAACCCGCCCATCATCTTCCGATTATGAGATAGGATCTGAGCATATCGGCGAAGATGAGAACGAAGCCCATCGCACGATACAGGAAAAGATAGCTGTTAACTTGGCTATTAACTTCCTTCGCTATGTGTTACAGTTCTGTCTGGAACAAGACGATGATGAAGAGGAAATTCGTGCGCGCACCAAGAGTATGAGAGGTCAAGCGACTGTAGCCGGAGTAAACAACACATTTGAGGATGATGCAGGCATTGGCAGATACATTCGACAGGCTGATAGCTGGGCATTAGTGCATCCATACATGGCCTTAATTGAGGCGAAGAGGGCAAAGGACATCCATATAGATCCTCAAACAGGTCGAAGTAGCCCCGTGGTATCGAACAATACTATAGCCCAATATCTTGGTGAAGCTGTGCTAGCCTGGCGAGCAAATAGAGACGTCTTGGGTCAGAAGTTAGTACCACCACGCTATACCTTGCTTTTTGCAATCAACCCCACATGCCTATTTGCTGACGAATTTGCAATCAGCGTATTTCTTATTGCCGTCAGCAATACGTTTATGTCATTTATTCATTTTAGTTTTGGTGCCGACTATGACGAATACCTCGACGCTACTACTATAGAAGATCAAAGACGCTTAGTTAACAACAAGAAGAAGGACACTTTCGTGCGCATGCATCGAACAAAATGGTTCGACTTACGAATGAGTGAAGGAAGAGAAATAGCGATGTGCCATGTTTTGATGCTGGTGTGGTGGCATGCAACTCAAGACGCTGATGTGGTGGCGTCAGACGCAGATATGTCAGACCCTAGCAGTGATGAAACAATGCATTCTAACGACCATGGCGAATATAATGATTCCGATAATGATGACGACTACGATAATGATGATGACGTATACAACGGTGGTAGCAGCTCTGAATAACACACTACAGATAGAATATACTGTAGGCAGGTGCGTGTTTAAGGAGGCGGGGGGGAAACCGCTATTCGAAGCTAAACGCCGCATATTTATTATATATTCTAATACTAGTACGGTATTATACCAGATAGTCACGTAGTCCATATCTTCAGTGATCAATCTAAGCATTCAATTAACCATTGATTGGGATAACTTCTGACGATCCAGGCTTACAGCTGTTCAATACTTGTGAAGGCAATTCACTTACAACCTAAGTTACCCAGTGTGTCCAATAGTGTGATATTACCATATATGGTTAGAATTTTGAAGGTTATATTATATATGATATGGGCAGAACCCTCACCATATCATATGAGGCTGATATGATATGATCAAAATATATGGTAATATACACGGCAATATTATTCAAGTGATGGAACTGGTCTACGAATTGATCGCAGATATACAATAGCAGCTGGGCAGCCACAGCGAAATCAAAGTCATACAAGCTATGGAATCTCTCCGCTTGTATCAAGGTCGTCGTCGGCAAAGGCCACCCTGCTACCTTTACCAAGCCATGATTTGAGGCATTCCGTCGCTTTAATACTTTCAATGCCCATGCGGTTCCCACGGTCCGTGATAGTGATCTTTGCACCCGAAAACAGGCGTTCTGGCTCCGCCGACATCGCCGGAATGACAACACATCTAAAGCCATGATAGATAGAGCTGGGTAAGACTTCCTCTGAGTAGGCTCAAGCCACCAGGATCGCGGATCCGTCACTTGTGGTACTATTGGGGCAAGAAGATACTTTGTGTATTCGTCTTGGTCTTGATCGAGGCTGGTCCCTTTCTTCTTCTGCACCCACTTGTGAAAGGAGTTCTTGACCTCATTACCTAATTCTGACGTCTGGGTAGGGACTGCAACCGCAGTGGATTTATATTCGTTCGTCCAGAAATCCAACATTTGTTTTCGACAAGGTTCCCGCCGATCTAAAGGTCAATTGTTGTCAGTATAGTCCCACTTCCATTGTATAGATAGGCAGGCGATCTCTCCGTCAAGCTGTAATACTTATTCAGCTTGGCATAGCCAGAGTTGCAACAAGGACTCATAAACGGGTCATTCGCATTTTTTCCTTTGCAGTCTCGATCTGCTCAAGGAGGAACTCCATTGTCGGCAATACTCTGTCAATGGTTGCATTGCGAGCTTCTGTCCCTGTTGTGGCCTCATAAAAGAACAACAGGAACCCGGAGCTTTTGCAAGTCTTGCCAGTCCTTTTCCAGCAACAGGTCGTCGCTGTTCTCTTGATTTTGGTGGCAAAGAGCTTGATCGCAGTCTTGAGCTTCGTCACAGTACGGATCATTGCATGCCAATAAGTTCCAGCGTGTAGACTTGTCTTTTGCGGCCGCTACTGAGCTCTCTAAAATTGGCCAAGCGTTGTGGAAGCAGAAGTAAGAAAAGGAGAGCTTGAATGAGCTCCTAAGATTCGAGCCAATCTCGCCTGCTAGGGGGTCCCCGGTCCGTCCCTGGCCGGGCGGCCTGGGAAGGAACCCTAAAAGGTAAGCTGAAGACCACATTCGGGCCTAACCTGTAGTGCCTTGAAAACGCAGATATTTAACCTCTATTATGCTTATTAAGTTATGGAAAACACTATGTTCTAGCATTAATATAGTTATATATAGTTATATCCAGAGCATTAATAAGAAAACTACATTTTTAATTTTTAAAAAAGCTTAAATAATTAATAATAAATCTAATAAAATACTTGAATTATACTAATAAATACATAAATTAATTAATATTATAACCACTTAGCTTATTTAAAAAAGTGGGTCCTTTTCGCTAATTATAAGCTTAAAAACTAGATGATATAATTTTCTAAAAACACACTATACTATACTTAGAGCATTAATAAAAAAACTACACTACATGTAGTTTTTTAGTGTAGTTTTTAGT